GTCTTTAGGCTCGTAACATATGAACATTACCACACATATAATAAATCCAATATCACACGATCATCAATTAGATATAATACATCACTCATTTTTATTTATTTTCCTATAATTATTTGATTAACTCAGAACCAAATTTCTATGCAGGTCTTGATAAATTTAAAAACCAGAAAAATTACCATTATGACATACAGGGTAACCCATAGCATGCCACTTCATCATAACGTGCAAGGTAAAAACTTATTTAAGCTATTTAATTTGATTAAGACAAAAGAGTTTAATGTTGCGTAGGGATACAAGTAATTAGTGAGTAACAAGGAAATCACAAAAAAAAGAAGCTTCACAAGACTACCGTAGTACACTCATATACATCATTTCTTACCTCCACATGTTATTCTATCGTCTTTAAGTTGATAACCATCATTGCACTCACATACATAACCACCTTGGATCTGCCGGCATTGCTGATGACAGCCACCGTTGTTTACCAAACACTGGTTATCATCGACCCCAGGACGTGCTGTTTTTTAATTGAAAACAGAACAGATCAGATTTGAAAATCTTGGTAATGTTGTCATAAATTTATGTCAAATTGTTATCTTTGAAGCAATTAAAAAATATTTAACTAAGATAATACAATAAAGTGAACTGAGTCACCATGGAAACCCATTTTAATGTAAAATGGCTTCTAGTATCAAATTATATTGTATGTATACACATAGAAAATAGTTTTGACTGCAATTCAGCACTTAAACAAGACATCCACTGAGAAGATATTTAAAATTTATCATCTGTATACAAGCTAATAATAGCAAAATAGTGGCATACCAAGTAGAGAAAATATAACCAAGGATAAACATAGACACAAGAAAATTGTTAACAACGGCATATCCTTCATTAAAAGCAAAGTATAAATAAGTTGAGCTTACTGCAGTTGAGTTCATCAGAAAGATCACCACAATCGTCTTCGTTATCACATTCGAATGGCGCTGGGATACAACGATGATTCGCACATTTGAACTCGTACGACTCACATCGAGGTGGTTCGGTAGGGTCACCTATATAATAAACAAATTAGCATACAGTTCACATCATGTTTCCACAAGAACTGTATGAACATCACACATATTAAAATTTTAAGATGGTCAGTGTTGAATTTATCACTTTTTATGGATGGATGGACATACAAACATATACTGGTAACCACTATACACCAGGCGTTATGAATGACTGCAGAGCAATACCTTACATACAAATGAATTGAAGAATGTGTTAATATAAGGTTGTTACGAGGATACCTCAAAGTATGCACGAAGACAGTACAGCGGGAG